GATACACTCCGCAGTGCGCCAGAAGCACACTAGAAATGTGTCAGTGGCACGGTAAAAGCATGCTAGCAGCACATAAAAAGCATACGTTAGTACACTTTTTCCATGTCATTGGCACAATTCAAGTGTGCTTTTCCGGGACAGTGCACTTCATATTCTAGTAGAAAAGGAATAATGCCATTCGAAAGACAATTCAAAACAGGTTTAGATTTCATGGTGGGCTATTTGCATTGTATGGAATAGTATAAAAAACTTCAATGAAGTGTCTCCTACCCTTATAAAGATATAAAACATATCCTGAACAGGTTTGTTTTCGATTTTTTTAAAAAGTTTCTTTTCGAAGAAAATCAAAGCTTGTTCCTGGAATCCAAAATCATCATCAAATAGGGCACTTTAACCTGCAAATGAATTAATTCATGGGGATCTTCACATATCGTAAGGTGACCACGTGAGACAAAAGGTTTTGTTAAATATTGATGTACGCTGCATAGACAGTTTGTCGCTTTCTCTTGTAGGACATAACTTGCAAAATATAACGTCGATTGACTACAAAATATGATTGTCTTTTGGGCAATCACATTTAAGTATGAAAGAAAAATATTACTTTTATTAAATTTAATTCAACGAACTCCTTGCTGCGTAATCTGGTCTGTATGTGATTACTACATTGTCTTATGCCTATAAAAACAGCATTATCGACGAAAATGTGCCAGGAATTTCTATAATGAGTCTTCAATGTGTTTCGTAAGATAAAAAAAGCAGTACACTGGTCGACGTTCTTGTGGGTATTCTTGCAAGATTCTTGTTTCTTGATATTTCAGATAAGTATCTTGTAAAATATTTTACATGTATTTTTCTCACAAGAATCTTGCAGGAAATCGCTTTCTTGTGCATTCAGACAAGAATCTGTCTCGCGTTAACATTGATATCTCCTGAACACGATGTCGAATGATGAATTTTCAAAAGAGATTCCAACTGAAAATATTACTCCCTAAGACAAGCTTCGTACTCCAGTGTGTCAAAATACAACTGTTTTCCAACTTTGTTGTCGTTTCTTCCGAAAATTATTCAGTGTTTGACCGCGCACGAATGAAGTCGGATTCATACTGACATAGGCAATGATACGTAGCAGACCGATAGGTTCATCCTTGCGTCGTTCTTCGAATTACAGTGGATCAGGCGACTGTCACAAAGGGCAAGATCGCCCGCCCGATAGTGTACGAGTTTATCAAGAGTTTGACCTTGATCGATGTCTGGATGATCACTGGGAATGTTGAGGAAATCCTCAGACTTTTCAGACAAACAATTGGCGAGTATTCCGTATGCGAGCATATACTTGTTTGACTTGTCGATTTGATAGAACATTCCACAAAAAAGCGGATTGCCCGATGCCATTCCATCATGAGTGTTATAGTAAGCAGACGCGAGATCAGTTTTTTTTCTACAAAGGATATGAGCATGATTCGTTTACTATTATTTGAACATGTTTCTGACTCATCACGTTGAACGGTGCCATTGGAGACACCCTCGAGAAAACACACCATCACAGGTATCAGACTGTGATCGGTATATGAGATCCATTTTACATAAACTGTCACTGACATCCAGGGAGGTAATAGATTGTGGTTCTCGAATTTTCCCCAATTTATGTAGTGTTGTAGATTCAACAGATTAAGGAATTTTGGCGCAAGTCGTTTTAAAAATATTCACTTCTCGATTTTGTTTTCTGCTAAGGCTTAAAGAACCAAAAATGTCGATAGTGCAAAAGTTTGCATCTCGGGAAGGATTCGATCGATGAAGTTAAAATTATTTTGTAAATGTACACAATCATATCCAGTGCAAGGTTCTGCAATATAATTCGACACTCCTCACAATTCAAATAAATTATAAGAATTCTATAAAGAAAATTTGAAAACAGCACATGGTAAATGGCAGAGAAGTTGCTCTTTTTATCCACTTTCGCTTATTGTAATCTATTTCAGAAGCACCTTCACCTCGAAGAATCGATTTCGCTAATGAATCTCAGATGAACGAAGACCGACATCAAATAACTCATGCATAGGCTGTTCGTTGTATGACTAAAAATTGACTTTTAATCAGCTGAAAAGTGTTAAAATAGCAGTCTGTTACCAGCCACTGTTTTTTATCCATTAATTCACTGCGAATCACTAGCTAAAAGCAGGCATCCAACTGTATCTACTTGAAACTGAAATTTATATCGGTCGTTAATTGTCTGTTAGCATGCCATTTTGGAACAGTCAATATATCAAGAAAAAGAGCATTTAACATTGGCAGTTAAATGTCAGTTGTTATCCATTTGTCAGCAAACTATTCGCCCTCTCGTTGTGCCATCATCCCTAATATAAATTTCACGCTTCTGGAAGAACGGGGTCCTATTCGGATTCAGCCTCGAATTTGATAATCTTGACAAAACAGCCTATCAAAGACTGAAATGTGAAACTTGTTATGATTATGACATAAGCTAAAAATGGATATAATATCGCCATGAAACTATTCGCAAAAATCTCAGTTATGTTGTGGATTTGGTTCACAGAGAATTTGGTTAAAGCAAGCACAGACTGCAGCGCTTCATCAATGAAATTTTGCATACGGAATGCATTATTGCATTATATATAATTGCATTATAGTCTAAGTACTTTTTATCATTAGATGAAAATAAAGTTAAGGAATGTTCAATCGACACTCCACTCCAGTTATGTGTAAACCATTCCACCTGTCCGATCAGTTTTTTCACGAAACCTGGTGGACAATAGGTAATTGAGTGTGCTGAATCCGAATATCATAGTGATTTTGGTGTCTAGGCCTCCAGCGACCGGCTTTCTAGAAAACTAGTTTTTCAGAAACTCTAAAAAATAACCAAAACCTTTCTTAATGAGGCATAATTGTAGCCCGCACATTTCGGATTAAAATGAGACATCTTCCAGCTCTGTACAATTTTTCTTTTCAAAATTATAGAATTTACTAGAAAAGCCGTAAATGAATTTCTTCTTATTTCGGTAGCTTTGAGTTGACAATGAACGTTTGGGGCTGTCCTTGTAAATTCTATAACTTTGGAAGGAAAGATCGTGCAGAGCTGTGAGATGTCTCATTTTAATCAGAAATGTGCGAGCAACAATTATGCTCATTAAGAAAGGTTTTGGTTATTTTTTAGAGTTTCTGAAAAACTAGTTTTCTAGAAAGCCGGTCGCTGGAGGCCTAGACACCAAAATCATTATGATATTCGGATTCAGCACACTCGATTACCTATTGTCCACTAGGTTTCGTGAAAAAAGCGATCAGACAGTTGGAGTGGTTTCCTCGTTAGTATAATTTTTTTATCCTGTGTGAATAGACATCGCTAGAAACCCATAGATTTTTGGACTTAAACTTCAAATTACTGTTGCTTCACAGCGATTACCTTACTGACAAGTTCACAAAAAAGTGGTGACTCACTATTTCTGACTCAGCATAATCACTCGAAAACTTGCCTCGACAGACATGTATTACATACAATTATCTATAGATATTTATATCATTTTATGATAAAAACAACCTCTGAAACTATTGCTACAGAAAAGTCTTAGTGGTTGTGCTAAAAATCTCACTTTTGAATGATTGAATATTTTGAATTGAAATTTTTTTCATAATTTAAGAATGCGATATGTTATATTTTCCGAAAGCATACTACCGGTTTTCAAAATGTATTTCATTTGACTTTGTTAACATACAATAAAATAGAGAATTACAAAGAACATCTATCTGTATGTTATATGCAACTTTGCATTGCATGATTCTTGAGAAAATGAAAAAAGTTTGGTTAATAAATGATACTAATAAAAACATTTCAATAACTTTCTCCTTTCTTTTTGAAAACCTATTTCACCGTTAGATACACGAGCTTATCAAAGTATTCAATAGGCGTCTGAATTTTACAGTGTGAAAAAAATAATAGAAACCTGTGAAGCAGGATTGAATGTTTAAAGTGGTAAAAGAATTGTGTGCGTCACCAAACCATTTTCTATTGATTTCGAAGTATCGTTTCGTTAGGCACATATTTCTTTATATTAATCATTTCACGAAAAAATATTTGAAAACGAATTATAATGCACTGTTTGTCTCAACTATAGGTTTGTTGCGAAGAATCAAGCAAAAACAAAGTCATATAAAAACATAACTTGAAGGGTTTTGATATACTCTTGAAGCTATACGTGTTCAGTAGGGGCACAATCGAATAAAATTACAATTCTCATTTACAAACAAAATCAAAAAGACAATGCGATATTCAGCGCATAGTCTTGCGAGTGGGAGCCTACCTTTTCAAAAAACAACCTGTTAAAATGTCTTATGTCGAAAATTTGCTTTTTTTAATTATAGTTTTATTGTCATGAAACATCCTGAAAATTAGCAATAAACACAAGAAGTATAATAAGAAGATTCATGGATCAAGTGGGCTTCAAGAACCGTGCCTTATTACTCATAGTCATAAGTCCGAAAAATGTAAGAAAAATCTTCATAATAGTGCAAAGTTGCACGAAAGTAACTGGAATCAGTTTATCTAGCCTTCTGCCTCAAATTCAAATTATAGTAAAACGCGACTCTAGTCGAAGTTACGTATGACTCGTTCATTTGTGTATGACGAACATTGAAAATTCAGATTCCAAATAATGCGTTCAAGCTCTCCGAAATTTCCCATTTCTTTTTCATTCTCTTTATTGCTTTCGAAAAACGTTCTAGACATACATGTTAAAAATAGTTGCAGGTGGAAAATTACTATGCCCTCTCAAAGGAAACATGTCTGGTTCTTTATTCATGAAATCGATTCTTCGAGATGAAGTTGCTCCTTAATTAGATTACAATATGTGAAAGTGGATAAAAGAGCAACTTCTCTATCATTTACCATGTCCTTAGAACAATTTATTGTATGTGTTTTTCTCCTGGATTCGATCTTCCGATATTTCGTACGCTGTACTTCTCCAACTACGCATTTTCCCAAATTTAGTGCAATGGTAAAATGCGTAGTTGGAGAAGTACAGCGTATGAAATGTCGAAAGATCGAATCCAGGAGAAAAACACATACAATAAATTGTTCTAAAAACGAATATTTCTCCTATAAACAGATTCTATTTACTATGTCCTATTTTCAGAATCTTTTATTCAATTCTTATAATTTGTTTGAAAAACTTAACCGTCATGAACGAAAGTACACTTCTGAAATGCTGAAATACAGGAAGTTTAACAGAAAGTTTTTCATATCACATTTTGCTATAGACTTACATCACTATACAGCATCTCTTATTAGTCTTAAAGTATATGTTCATTGATGAATAGTAGAGCAAAAATAGAATATGAGTTAATTTTTAAAGTTTGTTGATTATGAAGTTCACTATTAACCTTGAGACAAAAGGACACTTAATAATGCAAGTATTTTTCATGATGTCATGTTCAATCGTGAGATTTTTAAAACAGCTCTATTATAGATAGTTGTATCGACAAAAACAACAGAAATTGAAACTCTTCACATACAGCTTTTACTATTGCTGCTTAAAAACGTTCTAAAAGATTTTTTTTTCTATATGAAACCGAGTGAACCGTACAAAATACTTGATGTTTTTTCTGGAAATAGGTGTACTTTTTTACTATTGAAAATACGCGTATTTTCCTTGACGGTTAATTTTGCACAAGGTAAACAGCTCAAATGTTTTTCAGAATTGTTCAGAATTAACTGTCAAGGAAAATACGCGTATTTTGAATAGTAAAAGTACATCTATTTCCAGAAAATGCATCAGGTATTTTGTACGGTTCATTCAGTTTTATGCATAAAAAAAAATGTTTTAGTACATTTTGTATGACTTTGTTTTTTGATCCATTATTGTTTGTTGATTCTGAATATGTTGTTGTTTTGATTAAAAACATAAAGATAATAGTAAAGAGTTAAGAACCTGCAAAAATATGATCGCTTTGAATGGAGTTCGTAACGAACAGACGAAAAATAGATCAAATTTTTTTCGTTAAACTTAAATCAGCCGTTTTCTTACACAGATTTTGATGTTCTTTCCATTGATATGTTTAAAAAAGATTTCCATCTATTCATTACTGAGGTACAGAGTTTAGAGCACTTCGAAAGACATCTGAACATTGATGTCGATCTACAGACAAGTGTAACCAATATTTTAAAAGTTTTTTTTTCCTCACAAATGTACTCGGAGAAATGGGCAACATTTTGGCGAAAATCGTTGGCTAAAAGATCATTCCTCTGCTGAGTTATGATTAAAACAAAACGAAAATGTAGAGGCCGCACGGAAAATTTTTACAACGGTAGTAAAAATTGTATGTGAAGAGTTTCAATTTTTGTTATTTTCGTCTATATAACAATCTATTATAGAGCTGTTTAAAAAATCTCACGATTGAACGTGACATCATGAGAAACACTTCCATTATTGAGTGTTCTTTTGTCTCGAAGTTAACAGTAAGCTTCGTAAGCAATAAAATCGAATTTACTTTATAAAAAGTTTCATCGTCATTCAGCATACAACCTTAAAAGACTTCTTTGGTTTTTTTCGCTTTTAATAATGTTAAAAAAAATGAGCGTTTTTTTTTTTTGTTTTTTTTATATTTTTTATCATCTTTTCATAAAATTACATTGCACGATTGGACGAGAAAAAAGGGCGGTAGAGAAATCTGCTCTGAAATACGTTGAATTCACTTTTTTCTTTCAACATTCTACATTTTAAATTCATTTAATTTCCGTCGATAAGAGCAGAAAAAAGTATTTTGTTTTTTTCCAATTTATTATATATTTTTGATTGTCATCAACGATTAAAAAATCAAAAATTTATTGAGGTACATACAATACAAAAAGAACAACGTATAGCAGTCACAACATACAATTTAAAATATGTCCGATCCAAATTTTAAACAAATATGGCCAAGATGTTTTGTAGGTTTCGTAGCTACAATCGAAATGTTGGCTACTGTTATACTAGTATTAACAGAATTGGGTAATATAGCGGCCAATTTTTGGACGGCCAATGTTTTTGCTGGTTTCTGGTGTGCTTTAGTAATGATATTTCATTTCATTGGACTTTATGTTACTGGTAAGTTAATATATTTTTCACCAGATCAATATGAACTATTTTTTGAAGTTTCATAAACTTTGATTTATCATTGTCAATAATCCTGATTAATATATTCTGTGTAGTCCAATTGATATATAAAAACAATGAATAGTTTTTTGAGAATTTTAATATAAAAAACGGACAATGCCATTTGAACGAGGATTCAAAACTGATTCAGATTTCATGGGCGTCGGCTATATGCATTGTTTAGGGTATTATATAAAAATTCTATAAAAATTTGTATATACTAATAGGGATATAAAATATATCCGATTTTGAGAAAAAAAGAAAGCTAATCACTAATTTTCGAAATCATCATTGAATAGAGCACTTAAAGCTGCATATGAATTTATGAGGATATCAGAAAAAAAATGTTTTTTTTGTTAATATTTTAATATAGGTGGAAAGAGAGAAAGTTTCTCACATATTGGAGAATATTGAAATCGTAGTTGAAGATAGTGATATTCTAGAATGATTATTTCACATGTTATTACAGAGGTTTACTAAAAGAGAGACTGTTAAATCTTACTTAGGACGATCAGTGGGTGACCATATATATTTTAAATACTATTTTAAATATGTTTAGTAATTATAACCTTATACGGGATACATCGATATCCTAAACGGGATATATACCCCAATTGGAATGTTGATTATATTCCGATTTAAATATGTATCTCGTTCAAGATATACTCTATCGGAAAAATTATCCCGTTGAGGACATAAGACAAGAGACCAGAATGAAATTCAGTATTTTGATGACACAATTTTACTCTACAATTTTCAATTTACTAAAATCAGCAGAAGGTATGAGTCCAATATTATGACGCTTTTTTCATTAAGTCTATTTAGATTTTAATAGTATTACGAAAATGGCATTACTTTATTATAATTAATTATACCATATATTTGTCATGAAAGAAGTTAAATTAATAGAGTTTAACGGGGTTTCTTTTTGAGCTTGTTATTCTATACGAGTCATTCTGTACATGCGTATCTTTCCTATTTGTAAAGTATATCTTTCGATAATCAACGATGAGAGGATGAATAGTTCCTCCCTGTTCAATTTGTATCATAGATGAATGTTTTCGTTTTATTTAAGAAGTATATTAAATAAGAGATGATTTAAATATTTTCTAGCTTGTTGTTCACCCAGTTCATCGGCAGCTACTCGAGCATTTGTTATAACAATTATAAGTTTGTTGGCTACGGCTCTCTTAATATCATTTGATGCTGTCTTCATTGCTCTACCGTCCACATGCATCTTAACATCATCATGTGTATCAAATTCAGCTCAAACAAGTGGTTGGAGTTATACATTATCATCCTCATTCTTGACAACATTTAAAACATTGAGTCCATTTACAAATTATACATCAACAAGTGCAAAATATTTATTTCAAACTATTCAATTAGGTGTGGGTTGTTTATGTTTCGTATTGAGTGTGATTTATGTCATTCTCTACCTTATCTATAAATCAAAAGCAAAAAAATCGATTTATCCTCAAACACAACCACCTGCTATGTATCAACAACAACAACAGTTCAATCCAAATTTTAATCCTCAAGGAATTCGACGTGGACCACCACCGCGTAATCCTCAAGCATATCCAGGAGAAATAGAATGGAGTTAAATATCTGGAAAACAACATTAAACAATTATTTAAAATAATTCATGCATCAAAGTAAAAGATGTTTTCCATTATCTACGTCTCAAATGATAATATTTAAAGGTTTGCTTTAGTATATTATAACAGTCATTTCATTCACGCATTTAAGTGTCAAAAATTGTATGCTTAAATTTTTTTGTCATCTATTTAGATTTTTCTCTACTAAGTATTTGAACAAAGTTCTGCTATAGACTAAATAAATGCAAGTAACAGCTATTTGATGAACTCCTATACTAAATAAAATTGAAATTGAATTGAAGTGTAAATGAGTGAAAAATAGAAACATGTTTATAGTCTGTCAAAAAAAAAAAAATTTAACTCATTTTGATGTTTAACAGATGTGAAAAAAAGATAAATGAAAAACATTTTAGAAATTTTTATTAATTAAAAAATTAAACTAATGCTTTATCATCAATACTATTAGTTCTTAGAATGTAGTTGGATATAGTTAACTTTTAATTTAGATTTTTTGTTTAGATTTTGAATATTTCACTTTAAATGTTAGAATTAGACAAGATTATAACAATGAAATATATATATATATATATTAATCAGTCATATGCTCTTAAAAAATCTTCAAAAAAATAAAATTTCTGTAAAAACTGACAGAAGTATGCAGGTTTTTTGCGTGTGCATGAAAACTATAAATTTTATAGTTCAAACAAATGAGAATGAATCTACTTGAAATTGTAGTAGAGATAAGATATGAAAAAAAAAGTATAAAAATACTGTTAATATTCTATTCAAACTCGAACAGTATATTATTAAGAAATATAAAATGTGCACAACTTTCAACAATTGTGATTATCATTAAAAACATTAGAGTTAAGTAAACAATTTCTTGATAAATATTCAACGAAATAAAGTCACTTTTCTATGCAGTTAACAGTCGAAAGTCTTCTTTTTTTTTGCCTCTTTTATAATTTTTTAAAATATTCTTCGTTAGAGTTTTAATGAATAATTTATTATAAGCAGTTTTAGACTTATTTTTTATATCAATTACAATAATTTAAAGTAGTTGAATTTCAATTTAATGCAGAATCGGTTATAATACAGAAACTATTAACAATTATAAAATATGTAACAGTATAATATTCTACCAAATATCTTCTGTTTTTCTCTTTTGGTACTATAAATTATATTATGATAGTCAACATTTAAAAGAAAGTAATATTATCCACTGAGTACATTTTTTCACATGACCTCAAAAGTTATTTATATATTTTTTTTCTAGTTTATTTATTAATAATGACGAAAAAACATGAACCTAGAACAATCAAAATAATAGTAACAAAAAAAAAAAAAGAAAGAAAGAGCAAAGAGAGAGCAAATTAGAACGTTCGTGCACAACTTATGATCGATCAGCTTTTGTTAATGCCAGCATACTAAATCGAATATCACCACTAACACTTTGAATTAACTTTTGAATAACATTTTTTGTATTCTAAATGAAAGATAAAATGAATATCATGTTTTTTATTATTAAAATATACAAAAATATATTTCTTACTCTAAGTAAATCATTTCCTGTTGCTGAACTATGTTTAATTGGATGTGGTTGTCGTCCATCTAATTCGTACACTTCATCATTTGAATTAACAAAACATACAAAATGAAGATTTACATGTTCCTCTCGATCAAGAACCTGAAAATAAAAATTAGTTTTATCCAACAGGTTGTATTCTGTCATTAAGGCCCTCACCCGGGTCAGAAATCTATCTCAGCCCAAATAGGTCGGGTCTGGACTAAACTTTCAGGGAATGTTGACCATGTCAAAGTGTGGTAACGAGATTTTTTTTTGGCGTTCCTTTCAACTGTTTGTGAGAGGGGACAAAAAATAGGCGTCTAATGCGCACAGGAAGTCTTAAGAAAAACGCAAAATAAGTTTTGATTCTGTTAAACGTGTTTTACTTAAAAATTGTTTGAGCGTTAAATAATTTGTTGATATTTTACTATAGGTTATCGGTCATGGCGGATCTAATAAACATGTGCGCGGCCATGCGCTGCACATACGTGCGCTTATGCAATACAAGTGCAAAAAAGCCATTTTTTTTGCTATAGAGCTGCTGGAAAACTCGCTCAAAAGCTAAATATAATTTTTTATGAATAATGTAATTTCGAATTGCTGTCATTAGTTTACTGAATATGCTAAAATTTATTCTCGTTAACAAATCTAAGGAGTTCTTTAAAATATCTGGTTGTTTCTCAGAAATGTTCAATAGGATTAAATTGTTTTTTTTCATGGATTTTGACAGTCCAGAGTGTCCTCTTCGAAACGGAAGTTAGGCGAGATTGTGATTTTCAGTGGTTTGGGTATGATATTGGGAGTCCTAGAACTGGCGCTCCGCGACTATCGGTAACCTCGAAAACGGGTGGATTATAAAGGTAATCAATCATGCTGAGTCTTGTGACAGTATTTGCTTTTAGAAAAACATTTAAAAAACTAATGACACCCACGTTCTTTGAAAATTAGGATTTTCTGCCTGTTTTCCTCTAATATTAAAAACCATCAGAACGAGTTCAAAACTTCAGGGTACGGTTAACTTTTTCCGTTAGACATGGTTATAGGATTAAACAAATCCTATAACAAATCCTATAATCCTAAATATTTTATAGATGTCTTATCAATAGAATATAAAATAGGCTAAACATTATATACATCTTGAAGTTTTGAACTCATCCATGGGCCTTATATTTTGAAACGTATAGGAGAAATAGATAATCCTCTAACCCTGACATCATGTTGGAGAATTATCTATAAGTGAGGGTGAACAAATAAAGAAAGATTCATGCTTATACATATTAAGAAAAAAGGCAGAGAGAACTCATTTGAATGCAAAAAATGTGCTCATATTTAAATAGCCATCACTTTTGTTTCTAGAGGAAAAGATGGACTTTTTCCTCTACAATGTAGAAATGGCAAAACGATTATAAGATAAGCCCATTTACTTACTCTCGATTCCCCTTCTTCAGCTACTTCATCATTGGCACTAGCCATATCCAAAGCATGTTGAAGATGTTCAGCACGTTGTTCGGGTGTCATCAGCTTTGTTGTCTCAAGAAACTGAGATAATGGTTTATGCGCTAAAACATAGAAAACCATTGTTTATATTATCACATACGTATTTTGTTTCGCGATGAGACATATATCATTTAAAGTATGGAGAGTGATACACTATTGCCTAATTCATCGACCTTTTCAAATAAACTAGTTTTTTTAACTGGAAAGGCTTCTTAGTGTCAAGATTTCCAGTTGACAAGTGTAAACGCATACGCGGAAACCATTCAACATCAATGCTGGAAATCCACTTTTTCTCAATGTTTACGTTCCTGCATTCGCAATCCACCTCAACTTGTTAATGGAGCTATAGCATTTTTACTGACTATGGTGTTTTAAAAAATAATAAAAAACTTTTATCTTTCGGCTATTTTTTCTACTTCCCTTCGTTCCACGACATAACGATGATAGATGTAGATGCACAATAATATCGCCCAGAAGAAGAAGAAGAATACCCCGCCTTGCGACTACCTTGTGGTGTAGGGTGCTGTCAGAAGACAGTTTCATTAGCCCGATACTTTTTCCTACAGCTGATGACCTTGGAGGAAGTTTACACGTTCCTTTACTAATCACCACGTTGCAGCTCTGGACAGAAGACTGGCCTGACTCAGAGTTCTAACTGAGAGTCGCCTAACTAATGACAAAAAGCATTTATCGAAATAGTGGAAGATTATCGAGAAAAAATCTATAGGTGAACTGTCTAGATATCACATAGGTACCTATCGATCAAACTTTTTGGTTTTCTCAGGAACCATTGAGATATGAAACGTCAAAATTATATAGCAATGTATGCCTTCTAAAACTCTATCATTATCTATGGATTTCATGGTAACTAAGTGGTATTTCTAAAACCGGTGGAATCCTTTGAAACATACGATCAAGTTGAAATTTGTCCAGATTGTTTGCAATACTATGAATGACAGCAATCGAACCGCAGGCATTTCCAACATACTGTTTCATAAAATAAATTGCTTGACTGTAGTCTGGCGAACATTCTTTTGTACGCTTTTCTTCTTCTCGACGATGTCTTTCATGCTTTATTGAATAAAAGGTAAGCATAAAATAGTTGCAGACAATAGAAAATTATCGATTTTTCAATCACTAACGAGGGAACCTTCCCAAGTGCCCAATCGACTTTTCCTTCAAACATCCGCGATTGTGGATAATCTTTGATACTAATCACAAGTCTGATATCCATTTCTTCTGCTAGGCCTTTCTTAGGTGGATCTCTGAAATACGGGTGTCCGAAGCCCCGCTATCAACTTCCAGCTGAACATATTATGACATCGCCAGATTGTAGAGCACGTTGAATTAACTATGTATGAAAATCTTCAGAACCAATGAACAAGTTTTCGCAGGGATAGAAAAGTTTTAGGGTTCAAAAACCTGATAAAATTTTGGTTCTTATTGAATTAGAAAGTAAAATTTTTCTATCTCTTGCAAAAACTTGTTCTTGATTCTGAAGATTTTCCTACATAGGTAATTCAACGTGCTGTACGATCTGGCGGTGCCAAAATATGTTCAGCTAGAAGTTCGCAGTGGGTCTTCGGACACCCGGATTTCAGAGACCCACCTCAGAAAGGCCTAGCAGAAGAAACGGATATCAGACTCGTGGTCAGTATCAAAAATTAGCCAAAATCGTGTATGTTTTAAGGAAAAATCGATTGGGCACTTGGGAAGGTTCCCTCGTAACACTAAGAATTCTATCGCTGATTTTATATGTATACTCCTTTGCAAAAATATAGAAACGATTTGTTTTTAACATTTTTTGTTCAATTATAATAATCAAAATGTATTGATCTAGAGCGATGTGTATGACAGTTTCATCAGAATTTGCTGAATCTTTATGAAATCAAGTCCTTTGGTTCAATCAGAAACTTTTTGCACATAACTCAGTCGTATAGAACAAACTTTTCTGGACAAAATAAGACATTTCTGGATTCTCCACAACGTACTTATGCTAAACTACATTTATTATACGAACGGTCCCATTTTTTGTTGTTTTTCTGTTGATTTGGCTATACTGACGGGCTGCCCTACAAAAAAATATTTTATCGATACTGGTTGTGCACGGATGCGCACCGGTACCGAATAATTCTTTTTCTGGACACCGATGCGCACCAGTGCTGAAGTTTTGTTTTCAATCACGCGGCACGGATTTTTGCCAGTGCGGCACCTTTTGGCCAGAAATATACCGGCACTAGTGCGCACCCGTGCGCANACCGCACGGGAATTTTTTTTTATAGGGTAGAACCTTTCGTATAATAAATGCAGTTTAACATAAGAACGTTGTGGAGAATCCAGAAATGTCTTATTTTGTCCAGAAAAGTTTGTTCTATACGACTGAGTTATGTGCAAAAAGTTTCTGATTGAACCAAAGGACTTGATTTCATAAAGATTCAGCAAATTCTGGTGAAACTGTCATACACATCGCTCTAGATCAATACATTTTGATTATTATAATTGAACAAAAAATGTTAAAAACAAATCGTTTCTATATTTTTGCAAAGGATCGTATTCAATACTTTGGCCTACATCTTCTGTTATTGGAAATATAACTAAGACAGCAATGACCTAAAAATAACAAAAATAAATACACCAAATGTTAAACAAAAACACAACTTGATTCCTGCTCTTACTGGCTCGGGTACCATTGCCAACAATTCTTCATCCAGACCAATAACCTCAACAAACTCATAATCGGGATTTTTAACGCCGATGTTGTGGATATACTAAAACAAAAAACAAAAACGTATACTGATTTGATGATAAAACTGTACACTCTCGATCATCCAATTTGTTTCTGTTTTCAAGTATCATCTATTCCATGTTTCGAAGATCGGAATGAGTTTTTGACCATTGAATATTAAGAGTAATATGCACGTGATTAATAAAACAATACGTACTTTATTTAGGACCTAAACAAAGAAAAAAATGCTCAAATTTAAACATAATTTATGGAAGAGATAACTCACATCCGGATTTCCCTCTAATGGCATCCATCTGGGTTTTGATGATTCTGCTTCACCAGCATTTGCTGCAGCGACAGAGATCACGGTGTCGGACATTAGTATTAATCAATTTTCTACAAGTAGATAAAAGCAGATCAACATGAGCGAAAAGACACAGTGAATGAATAAAACGTATAAGCGATGAATGATTCTTTCCACAAAATCTTTTAACCTTAACCTGAATGACGCGTTCGTTGTGCAGTTTAGGGCAGTGTCTCTAATAGAAATTTAAAGTAATGAACTTCGTGACTATAACAAAGTGTTTTAATTCAGAAAATTCTTTGTAGATAACCTGTAAGAAAAAAACATCTGTCTTTTACCATTTTGCTTAAAAGCAAGACGTGTTTCAAAAATACAAACAAAAACACAAATCGTTTCATTAGAAATTAGAATTCATTAGAAAAAAAAATTGGTAAAGACGACAACACAACATTTTTGTAATAGAAAAAGAGAGCACCGAATAGAATCGTACATCGTTTTAAAATCTATGCAAAAAAATTGGTTTTATTTTACTTTTTAACAGTGCGATCAAACGGTTTTAAACAGGCTTGTGCAAACTTTCTTTATCGAATCATTTTTTCATCGTTATTATAAACTTTATTTAATAGAAGAAATGTTGAAAAAATCAGTATATTATGATTAGAAGGAGGCGAATCCATTACATCTTAACATAGATTGACTGAGGACAGAGGACAGCACAAGAATATATATATAGAAACGATATACGACGACAACATAAAAAAGAGAATATTTTCATCGTTATAATCACGCTTAACGCAAATAGCCAAGTAACGTATAGAAAGGCAAATCCGTGTTTACTGTATTCATCATTATTGTAGTGAAATAGAAACATAAAGAAAGATGAGTCACAAATCACTTGACTTACTCATAATTATAGAAAAGAAACTTATAACATGTTTAGAAACTGTTAACATAAAAAAAATGATACACTTTGTTTTTTGAATAAAGGGTTAATTCAAATTAATAATTGCGCAGCACTTTGTAATTTCTGTCGTTAGAAATGCTGGTTTCGGTAACTCATTACATGTGCACAACATCATCTATACAACTACTCTATTTCCATCCAGACATGAACAAATATCGAATGTTTCAAGAACAAATTTGATTTACTCAAGTAACTGTCGACCTCTGTTTCTATTACATCTATATCTCTAAGGGACACCATCCATCATATCTTGTTTCTTGCTAGTCAGTGAAAAGTGATCCTCATTTTTGCAGAATTTTTCCTAGTTTATACTGCAGCGTTTGTCAAGAGCTTTCGAAATACATATTTGAAATTCTCTGGCCAGAAGTCGTTACTGAGATATCAGTGTCTTTCAAAAATCTCTATTACATAAGTAAATTCGATAGATCCCAACTACCCTGCGGGCAGATTGGAAAGCCGACTGAGTGAAACACTTTAGACACCGTTTGAATCCCTTCGATACGGTTAGAACACTGCAATCCTCTAACAGTAAACATTTTGATACATTCTATCCGTAGTAATGTTTCGGACCACAAATGCATCCAACTACATAGCAGTATAGATTGATAAATAGCATGCTATTACTTTGCACACTGTTCATACTGAATGTATATGAAGTGTCATGCGACCATTAATTATCACATAGGAAAAATGGTACTCTTTGAAAATATGCTCAGGTTTTAGGACATATACGGTACGTTAATTAAAAGATATATCGAAAAACTAATTTCAGATATGTCACCCACAGCTCTTAACCTTTCTGTGGATCTTTGTTCCAGATCTCTCCGATTAGGAATAGCTGAGAATGAGTGGCTGATTCGAGAAACCAAAGCAAGGGGAAATTTTTTTTTACTGTGAAACAGAACTAGAGCCAGTTGTCCTGCGGAAGGATTGAAAAGTCGACTGAGTGAACAGATGAAATTAAAAGATCAAGAAAGTCATAACAGTCTGACTATTTTCCAAGAAGAATGTACATTTCTATACCAGCTGATTTATTATCATGTTATGTATTCTACTATAGTATAGCTGTCATCATATCCAGCACTGTAGTATATATTTACTATGAAATTAATCTGATTATTTCATAGGAAAAGAAAGAAACAATATGGTAAAAGACAAGTGAAAAGCAAGAAATCTCCTGAGTTTCACTCAGCCGACTTAATAAATCTCCTCGAATTTCATTCGGTCAGCTTAATGAAGAAGGCATTTTCCGACCCCGCTATTTCACCATTTTTTGGGCCAAACAATAAATAGGATATCCAAACTGTATCAGAAATTCATATATTACAAGAGTATTACAACAACTTTTAGAATTCAAAGTCTAGTGTCATGGTTAATAGTTTTTTTGAAAAATATTGGTATCTCAATAGCGGCTTCTGGCTAGATACTCCGAACACATATTTCGAAAGCTCTTTGACAACAGCTACACTATAACTAGGAAAAATTCTATACAAATGAGGATCACTTTTAAGTGCATTCATCCATCGATGCCCGCTGTCAAATTTTAAAAATGATGGAAAGGTAAACTCTCATCCGTCAGAATGTGCAGTTGTCGAATCATCACAAAACTTTTGTAGAGTTGAAATTTAGATAGCGCATTGAATTTTAGAAAAATTTGCGTACTGATTTTTGCACAGGATGATCGTTTCTCTTTTGCAGGAAAACGTACTTTCTAGAAATGTACATAATTTCTAATCAAGAATTATTCTCTTTTTTTATTACATTTCGAATTTTAGGAAAATATATTGCTGCGAAATATAATTCGTCACAGGGTACTGCGTATTATCGTTGATATTTTTTTGTTGGTCAATTGCTTCCGCCAATGGCTGCATAGGATATTAATAGTCATTCCACAAAAAAATCTTATTTGGAGAGGTCAAGATAAGATACATTGAAAGGCTAACATGAATTTACACTATAAATTATTTTTAGAGGGATTAACAATTTGAATCCTTAGATCTTTGTGACATATACGAAGCGATGATGTCATGATGGTCCGACCTTCAACTGTTTATACGCACAGCTCCCTTATAACAGTTATGGTTTACTCCACAGGACCCTAATCACTGATCTCAGAAGATCGGGATAAGTTGCAACGATTTAAAGAAGGAACCACTCTTTCAAAATTATCTGTAAATTAAATTGTTGAAACTACAATAAAATCTTTAAAATATGTTTCACACCTGTAATAACATATGGTGCAAAAGTAATGGTGTAAATGTCGAGCATTAT